TTTTTAATAAACTGGCACAGCACCTGTGCTTTGTTGGCCAAATTCTAGAGTACCGAATTACTTGTTGTCTGCACCCGCCCCCCCACCCCCCAAAAAAAAAGGCTGCTAAATTCAGACCATGTCACTTCTAGTCTCTTCTGAAGTCCTCCTAAAAGCTCAATACTTAAAAAGTGGTGAGAAAACACGAAAAACCCTCGAGAACCAATTTTAAAAGCTGCCTTTAGGAACAAATGACTAACCATATAAAAATACTGAATGTACTGTCAATAGTGAAGATATCTCAGATTATACCACAGAACTGTCCCCAAAGGCTTAGCAATGCAGGTACCTTCAGAAATATAAAAGGGACTAAGAGATTGTTGGGAAGTCTGGTTAATTCCACCTGGCAAAAACTGGAGATTATGTGAAGTGGGTAAGAGAGGATGTTCTTTGGACTCAATAGGCAGCGATGAAAATGAAAAGAAATAAGTTTACTTATTCAGATCCCTCAAATTTCTTCTCCTACTGGGATCCTAGAATACTGGTAGCCAGGATTTTTTACCCTTCAAGTATAATTTTGGAAAAAACATCCATGGTGAACCTTAGTTTTATAGCTCCCAACTCCCAGGGGTCGGCAACCTTTAAGACATAAAGAGCCACTTGGACCCGTTTTCGCAGGAAAAAAAAAACCTCGGAGCCACAAAACCATTGCGACATAAGTGAACAGCTCCCGCCCGCCCTGCTAGTGTCGGACCTGCTGGGGACCGCAGCAAAGGTTCAAAAGAGCCGCATGCGGCTCCGGAACCTCAGGTTGCCGACCCCTGTGACCTAGCCCAATTCACAATATCCAATTAGCTTTTTAAATGCTCCACACTGAAAAATGAGCCAAGGATCATCAAACATTTGAGGATATTTTCTACTATGAGGCAGGGGCCAAAGCAACATGAATATAAAACACCTTGAGAGAAGCAAACTTTTAAAGTCATCAATAACTGTATAGCCAAACCAGTTTGGCTCACTGGATAGAACTGCAAACTGAAAGGTCCCAGGTTCAACTCGTCAGGGCATGTACCTTTGTTGCTGGCACATCCCGAGTAGGGGTGTGCAAGAGGCAGCTGATCAGTGATTATCCCTCTCTTCCTCACTGTAAAAAATCAATAAAATATATATTTTTTTTAAATAACTGCTGAAACCGGTTTGGCTCAGTGGATGAAGCATCGGTCTGCGGGCTGAAAGGTCCCAGGTTCGATTCCGGTCAAGGGGATGTACCTTGGTTGCAGGCACATCCTCGGTAGGGTGTGTGCAGGAGGCAGCTGATCAATGCTTCTCTCTGATGTTTCTA